TATTTTATTTCTTCCCCTCAGATAATTAAGGACAATAACAGAATACTTTTTCACAGATTATTAATGACAATGTGTAAAAGCTTCATTTTAAGGCTGAGAACATTCAAATGTCTTCTGACAGAGATTAGTATCAATTTTATGGCCAACTTTTCTCCAATTTATTGACCATTTGGAAATAATTTAAACATAAAATTTGTCTTTTCCATGTAAAAGATGATCCTGAACTTCATGCTTTAGAAAGTGGTTATTTTAATTTTTTGCTTTATTTTGTTTTTGGAAGAAAATATAGATTTTCATTTGACATCATGTCATTCTGTTAATATAGATAGTGAAATCTGGTTGACATGAAATTCTTTTGGTGATAATACATTTATAAACACATATTTTTCTGTTTATCAGTATAATGTAGTACTGATACATTAAATACTTATAACTATTGAATACTGGCAATTTCAATAAGTACAACATCTGGATTTTTATATGTACAACTTACAATACGGGAGCACATAAATTCTGGAACATTTGGAATGGAAATGTTCCTTTGATTTGTAAATAATAACACTTCACTTACTCTCAGAAAATGTACAACGATGTTGCAGTTGTCATTTCTTCTTGTACATGGGGTCTTTGTGGCTGAGTAGTCTAAGTAGTTCAACTACTGTATCACTAGCCTGTCAACACTGAGGTTGTGAGTTGAACCCTGCATGTTGCAGGTGCACTCGACTCCAATCATAATTGACAAAGTTTTTCCTGCTGAAAATGTTGGTTCTCTCTTACCAGGGAACTCTAACCAATAAAAACTGAATGCCACACAATTACCAATTGTGCTGAAAGTGGCGTTAAACACCAATCAATCAATCATCTTCTTTTACAACTATGTAACATGTTGCATTCCAATATTGAGCCTTTCAATACATACAATTATGGAATACTTGGAATTCAAATATGTACTACTAAGGAACACTTTAAATTTCAATATGTACTACTAAGGAACAATTGGCATTTAATATGTACAACTATGGAACACTTAGCATTCAATATGTACAACTATAGAACACTTGGCATTCAATATCATATTATATGTACAACTTAGGAACACTTGGCATTTAATATATACAACTATTGAACAATTGACATTAAAAAAAATAGGTAAATTTATGAAACACTATGCATTTCAATATGTACACTTTAGGAACACTTGGCATATTGATAAAAAAAAAAACTCTGGAACACTTAGCATTTCAATATGTACACTTTTAGGAACACTTGGCATATTGATAAAAAAAAACTCTGGAACACTTAGCATTTCAATATGTACACTTTAGGAACACTTGGCATATTGATAAAAAAAAACTCTGGAACACTTAGCATTTCAATATGTACACTTTAGGAACACTTGGCATATTGATAAAAAAAAACTCTGGAGCACTTAGCATTTCAATATGTACACTTTAGGAACACTTGGCATATTGATAAAAAAAAACTCTGGAACACTTAACATTTCAATATGTACACTTTAGGAACACTTGGCATATTGATAAAAAAAAACTCTGGAACACTTAGCATTTCAATATGTACAACTCAGAAACACTTGGCATGTTAATGTTTTCAAGATCAACTCAGGAACACTTGGCATGTTAATGTTTTCAAGATCAACTCAGGAACACTTTGCAAATTGACAACCTCTTGAACACTTTGCAAATTAATGTGGAAATATTCTGAAATACTTTGCTTTTATTTATTGTTTCATATGCATCCTCCTTTTATGGTTCATTGTTCAGTCTTGTATAACTCAAATAATTCATTGTGTTCTAGTGGCCTGTAGCCTACGTAACAATCAGAGATCAGTCAGTAAAAGGCATAATGTAACGACTGACATTATTCTGGTGCATACTTGTATTGATTCTCATTAAATCCAATGGCATTTGTCATGAGGAATCTGTCTTTAAGTTATCATTCTGAATTCTTACTGAAAAGAAAGATTAAATCACATTTCAATGTGAAACGAATGTCGGAATATTCAGGTCTTGGCTCTTGATATCAACAGTTAGATACTATTGTGTGTAAAATAGGAACAAGTTTTGATATCTGAAGATTTGTGTTATGGAGGCCAAACCTCAGTTTATTAAAACAGAAAGTGAAAACATGAAGCTTTAATCTCCTTTGACATTTAACCTTCATATCATTAGTTCATTTGAAAGTCTTTACTTCATACCAATAGAAGAATACTTATTTCGTGCAGACCTCAAATAATATAAAATAAGACCTAGTCTAGTTATATATGACTTGGAAGCTTTTTTTATCACATTACCTTCAACAGTTCCTTTTTTGTGGTGTTATATCAGTAAAAATTTGTTTTTACTGTCGCTTTTTTCCTTTGAAACAATTGTTTCAGAGATAAATACTGATTAAAATCTGCTGATTTCATGCACAGTGACTAGAAGGTTAGGTTCATTGACGTCCAGATCCAATCTTAATAATATTCAAATTGGAGTTCAGTTTAAATAGAATATATTGTAAAAGAATAAGATATTTGAGAAGCCCTGTAGTTTTGGCATATGCTACTGTAATCCTCGCTATCAGACGGTAGTTTTAACTTCAGGTTGACATGTCAAACTTATCAGTAATCTCATTTGTTAATAGGCAAAATATTGTACCGATTTTAATTCCTAGATATGGTCAAGTTTTGCTTCCAAGATAAATTACAACAACAACGGATAAGGGGAAACAATTAACTAACCACTAATTTAAATGAAAGTTAAAGTTTATCAATTAATGGCATTGAGACATGGTAAACATATACTCCCAGTTTGTAACAGGATGTTCAGGTTCTCATAGAAAGCAACTGGCAAATTGCAAAAGATGAGAACGTTTTAGGATGTTCATACAGTTTGGGGAAAGAAATATTTTTTATGGTAAAAGTTGTCATATTATCAAACCTCATGCTTAGTGATTATACATTGGAATTATACTAGTATTCTGCAATGTCAGTGTGTCAGTCAGTCTGTGAGTAACAAATTTATGTCAAATGTTTCGTTTATTTTTAAAGAGTTTGTGGAATGATCTATGTTGGCCTCTTTTTTATATTGTTTAGTACAAAGTTATCTTATTGGTAGTTATACCACAACTTATTTTTCTAATAGTTAAGTGATTTTAGATGTCAGGCAAATTATAGCAGCAGAAGTTAATGAAAAACAAACAGTAAAAGTTGTATTATTTATATGGTAAAAAAAAACAAGTAATCGGTGCATTTTTTTTGCATTATTTACATGTAATCAAACAAGAAGTGATCGGTGCATTTTTTTGCATTATTTACATGTAATAAAACAAGAAGTAATCGGTACATTTTTTGCATGTAGAAATGGATATATTTTGTTATGTTTCTGTGGTATTAGTTTTCCATATTAATATGGTTTTATTCAATAATCATACCTTCTGTTGCTGGGGGCTGTCTGATTTGCCAATATATATATTAAGTACAGTTACTTATAGATAAATGTAAATGATTGTTTGTCATGAAAACAGACCATAAATTGTTTTTAATTGTTCAAATTTAATTGTGATTTTTACATCTGTTGTACATCACCGGGTTGATTACAGACTTACAGGTAGTTTGTCTGTACTATATTCTCAGGTAGATTCAAATGAAAAAGAGATTTATTTACTTTTGGTCAGTGTTTGGGTAATTTTAGCCCCTATATGATACCAACAAACACATTTGACTGATTTAAGTCCTATACTGAACCAAGCAAACAAATATTTTTCGTATAAAATTTTCCTTGTTTGTCTTTTTTACTCACGATTGAAGTGTTGTTATAGTATAATGTGTTTTAATAGTTATAGTATTACTAATTAAATCTTTAATTGATCAGTTTTCTTCTTTTTAATTTCCAAACAATACAGACTTGAATGTTTAGATTTTGAAACCTTGTGAAGTCAATAAATTTGTTTTTTAGAAGATGTTATATATTTTTGTACTCTTGGTGATTATCATAAAAAATACAACTGAATAGTGTAAATGTTGAAATAAACATAAAAAGAAAGAAGAAAATATATACAAATTTACAAATAGAAAATGTCATATTTTAAAAATTTGAGTAATGATTGTAGGAATTGAGTGTAATTAGTCACTCTGATTGAGTTTTCAGTGTCCATTTCACCTTACTAATCCTGAGTAAATATTGACCATGTCCATTAATTATAAATTCTGTTGATTTACTAATTATGAACTTTTAATACAAGAACCCAGACATATTTATCAATAATTGATATAGGATTGAAAGTGAAGCACATGTGTCTTTAGGATTATCTTTTTTGTTGAGTTAAACAGTTCAATTTACAAGCTGTGTATAACAAGTGAGTAAGACATTTGTCTTTTTTATGCAAGTATAAGTAAATTATTAATCTTTTACAAAATGATTAAGCATGCAAATATATAATTAGGGGAAACAATGACAAATACTTCATATATGGAAAATTTCATCCTGTTTTTCAAAATATTAGACGTTTCTATTAAATATAAAATTTCCGAAGTATAAGAGTTTATATATGTGAGTCTCTTTTTGTTTTTAATTGTTGAAAATTTTAAGCAGACAATTTCAAATTTGATTCAAGTAAAATATTGAATCTTCTTATTGAAGGCTCTTCATATTATTTACCTTTTAATGAACATAACATATTTGATTTTTATTGTAATGGATTGGATTAGAACTATTTGGTTAAAAGCCATATATTAAATGTTTCTTGCTTTTAAAAATCTTGTTTTAAGATAAGATCTCATAACACAAATAAAATGTTTTCTTTAATTGACTTGTGTCAAATCAGTCAATTTTCAATTTCAATTATTATGTCACAAAATTCTTTTATAAAATGCATGACATTTGAAGAGTAAAAACATGCAAAACAGGTACTCAAAAAATCACTGTGACATTGTCATAACTGAAAAACTTCTTAAAAACATATCTGATAAAATCATTGATTTGAGCATAAGATATTGTACTGTCATCACTCACTTGTAACAGACAATCTGATTGGTTGGCATTCCACCCTATTATCAATTGAAAGACCATTAAACAGAGATACAGGTATTTTTCATTAAACACACTTGGAGGGTACAGGAGTTAAATTTTTTTATCCTCGGATTTATGACAACAAGATTTAAAGATTATACGTTTATAAAAACATGAAAGTGAATTAACAAGAGATGTATGTTACATTTAGTTTCTGAGGGAAAATAAAAACCAATTTAAATGGATAACTAAAAGTGAAGGTAAACATATTTATTTATTTTAATTTCTATGAAAAAAATGAATTGTTTAATCTGCAATGTATATTTTTTTTTTAAATCAATGAAAATATAAATATAACGAATGTTTAATAAAAGTCACAGCAATGAAAATTTTGATATATATACATTTTTTTCCTTGTGAATTTGCATTTACTATGATATTCTCCAAATAATTTACACTCATAGATGTTACAAATCATGATTTATTTCAATTTACTTGACTTAGTTCTAAGAATTTTAAAACATTTCAAGTATGAGTATATTCGAATACCATGCTTATTATTTACATTATATCGCATTGCATTAAACACTTTTTTGCATGTATACCTAAGGAAGTTATTTTTGAAACAATTGATCTTATCATCTGTTGTATAATAAAATATAATAAAATACTTTTTATTTTTAAGTTTTCTAAAAACATATCTTTTATGTAAAATAAGTAATTTTTATGTAAAATAAGTAATTTTAGGCACAGCAACATACAAAAAAATGAAGATCTTTTTCTGCATGTAGCAAGCATATGTGCTTGTAATATTGGAAGAATTGATAGTACGTATATATGTTCGATTTGAAACAATATGAGCTGAAGTAAAGAAACCATTAGTGACTGATTGTAATACATAATCTAGGATTCATATTTTCACTTTTTTGATTATTTTTATACTTTTGTAATATTTTATATAAATGGCATATTTTTAGATGAAAGTGAAAAAGGAACAGCTAGTTTTGAGCAGCTTTATTTCAAAATATTTTTATTCATAGTTAAAACACAACGATAAAATCTTGAAAGAAAGCTGTATCTTCCGAGAAGGAATAATATCATCTCTAGGTTTTCATTTTGTTTTGTTTTATATTGCTTGGGCTGCTGTCTTATTATAATTTCCTACTTATTTTTTTTTTTATTTGAATGAAAATTGAATATGTTTTATGTCTGTTATAATATGCAGAAAATGTTATTTTTGTCTTAACTGTCGGTATTCCAGTGTTACTTAGATATTGAATATTTTGTAACGATTTTAAATTGTTGCCATAAGTGGAGACCATATCAGATCATAGACTATTTTGATGAACATATTTTATTTTCATCTAATAATGATACTTTCACAGTGCCTAGGTTTTTTTTTTATAAAGATTAAGATCTAGTGGTGAATTTATACCAGTATTAAATTTGTTACACACAACACATGTCTCTAGAATAAATTGTGTCTTGTATTCTCGATGCCAAAAGTTTGGAAGCCCAAACTACACATACATCAGTGGGAACAGGATAACATAAAGGATCTTATGATAAACATACCATATATTTTGGTAATAATTTTAATAATAATAAAACCTGCATAAGATTTTTTTTAGACTGCGACAGAAACATTTGGTCCTAAGCCAGATTATAACAGTCTGATACTTATGTATTTTTCAATTAAAAGGTGATTATAGTGTTGAACATAAACAGTGAATAGTTCATTAATATCTACAACTACAGGTACATGTATTACATACACTTTCCAAAAAGTAAGACAAGAAATATGTAAAAAAGTGTATAACATAATCTGGTTAAGATGTTTGATGTTTATTTGTCTCTGTTGAAATTCAGTAATCTCTTGTGTAAAATTTGGTTGAATAAGAGGTTTTTTGTAAAGTTAAAACAAATGATGATGGCTGGAAAGAATAATGATTTTATATATACAGTTATATGAAAAAAAAAAAAAATGGTATAATTGCCAACGAGACAACTCTCCACCAGAGACCAAATATATACAGTTATAGTTATGTATAGTTTAATTGCAACTGGTAGGTTGTTTTTTTTAATTTGATCTAGAGAATTATTTAAATTTTTAATTTTAATTCAATTCTTTTGTTACAGAAGAAAGAATAACACCTTAATCATTTGATATTCTTATTTATATTTAATACTCATGGATCTTTGAATATCATACATTTGTACCATGAATATTTTCCCTTTAAAAGTCGTTTTATATCAATATAAAAGCCTTAACTTGCAGAATAAATATATATCAAAAGTAAAAGATAACAAAAATAAACTTTCTTTTCTTAATTCAAATCGATTATAAGTTTCTTAAACAGTAAAGTCCAGATTAAATAAATGTCCATTGAATATATTTGTGCAAGGAACAATACAGGCGCAAATAAATCTCTTTATGGACCTGAGATTAAAATGCATACCCTGTAATTTGTCTAAACACTTAGTATCGTTGTTTGTACGACTTCAACAGATTTAGAATTAAATGTTGGTATACCCAAGGATTTGTATAGTGAGAAGGATTGGAATCTCGCGGTATATCGACACTTCTCGCGTATCGTGAGATGTTGCGTACTCGCCACTATAAATTTATACGCGCCTGTTAGTAAATATCCGGTTGAACAGCGTGTATTGCAAGATAATCATTTCTGACTTGTTTGTTGTTAGGTTTTGTTTGTTTTAGCATCTTTGATCAATATTTTGTTTTAATTCGCAAAGATATCACGATTCCTTCTGAGTATGTCATATTGAGGACCTCTCTTTAGCTGGAAAATAAACTTTGATAGTCGTTTACATTTGGCAGTTGCCGAAAATTATCGTAATTATGTTGACATTGTTGTTGTTTTTCTTGTGATCGTAATTTGAGTAGCCCAACACATCTTTATGATACTAGTAATAGCTGTTTAAGATAACCCCAAAGAGAAGGTCAAAACAATTATTTATTTTCGCAGCTTGTCTTTGTCCTTTCTTCTAGTAGTAGTCTAGTATATGAAACTGACCCAACTACCACAAGATAATTGACAGTTAGAGGAAATCATACAGTCTTCAAGAATAGTCAGTCTCCATACAAATTTTATCTGTATGTTGTTTTATTTTATCATAGTTAAGTTATGAATAAATTTAACAGAATCAATATACATGTAAGGTCCGCAACAAATGAGAAATTAAATGAATTCATTGATTTTCAAGAATGCTCGTCTGTTCAAACTGCAAATACATGAGTGTAAACTGGAACTATAGAGGTTTGAGTTCATTGAAGGACTGGCAGGAAGTTAAAAATAAGTTCATGATTATAAACAACAGTAAAATAGAAACTGAAAAGATATGGAGTAAATGTACATGTACATGGGACTAAATCTCACACAATACATAGAAAACATAGAAAATTATCAATGAACATGGCTTTTATTCCTGTTCTTCATCTTGACAGTTGATGTAGGGTCTTCAAAAACGAACGTATCATTCATACCCTAAAATCAATGGTTGTACCCATAGCAAGTAAAAGTAAATTTCCCTTGTGAAAAACATTAGTAACACAAGCAACTAACAGCATTTTACGAATAACTTTGATGGGTTATCTGCTTATTGTGTCATACACCCTACTCATAATTTGTTTCACATTTTTCACGCTGTGGCCTTTTAGAGCCAACTATACAATATGGGTTTTTCTCGTTGTTGAAGGCTGTACAGTTGCCTATAATTGCTTACATCCACTTCATTTGAATTTGATGGATAGTTGTCTCATTGGCATTCATACATCTCCTTATTTTTATATTGGTAAAGATTTGACATTTTTTATTAGCATTAAGAGCATATACATGTATAAGGGGACAATCATTTCATTTTTAGGGGGTAAGGCAGGAGGATTTCTCTTGGACAGATTTTTCACAAAATGAAATAGTCAATATTATTTCATTTTTAGCTGTTGCTCAGATTGTTTATGTCACATAGCTTCATTTTCACTTTTTTAAATAATTTTTCATGCTCAATGTGAGGCAGAAATGCAGCAGCTTATTCATTTTCAATCTTGAACGGGCAACATTATTTCTTCTACTAATTCTCACCATGCTAAAATATTCATTCCCACATCACCCCACCTTCATCCCATTGACCCAATAAATCCATTGATTATCCACTTTCAAAAGTACCTACTTTGTACCTAGAAAACCTATCTTAGTGAACACTGACCTGTCTTCGTTTACATCCTTGTCCTTTGATCTCATGATAGTTGTCTTAATAGCAATCGTACCACATCTCCTTATTTTTATACGCACATGAAATATTTTTTTACATTCTTTATGAACCAAGCATGAAAGACCAAAAAATGGAACATTGTTACAAACTAAACTATCTGGGAACACCCAACCACAGAAATGCTGGTACCTGCTATGACATGTATGAAGACATCATGTATTCTGGATGTCTTGTAATAAAAGAAGTTTGTTCTTGCTAACAAATTTTATTCACACACACAAAGCAATATTAAAACATGTTAATTTTCCAAGTCCTTTTTTAATTCCATTCATGACACTATTTGAATAAATATATAGTCACTGGTTGGATTTTACATATTGATAATGGTGATTTCATACTCTGGTTAACTTCCATCTTCAGTTTGTCACAGGAGCTGACACAATTTGTATTTGATTTTTTGGAACATAAAGTATCCTCTGCGATGTGTACATCATAGAAAATACATTCTACAAATGTATGTCTTCTAGAGGCTTGGTTTGATGCCTTTCCCTGTATTGCATGCAGTATGAGTGATCATTTTGTAAGTCAGAATATGGTGTTATTTCTTGCACTTTCACCACAAAGAAACATATCTCCTTTCTTTAACTTTGGTATCCTGAAAATAACAAACATTTTTTTTTTTGTAAGACTAAAATACATAAAATATAATTAGGGTTTCCCTGACATTTTCCATATTGTAAAATTATAATTTTAATCCATTTAATTTCTAAGCAAAGAAAATAAAACATTACATGTAAAACAAAATACACCTGCCTACTACAAATAAAAAACAAATAAGAATCTAAAAATTACATTTTGTGGCAGTACTAGTACTAGTGCTGAAAGCTGTCAGAGCTGGCTAGAATTCAACTAAGAATTTCTGTAAAAAATATTAAGAGATGTGGCACACTGGTATGATTCTTGCACAAATTCTGAATATAATGATTTTAAAGTAATTCTGGTATCAGTATTATTTTATATTTTTAATAATGTAGTTACCTGATTATTATCCACAGCCATAACCAACTATTGTCTTCAGAGAGAAGTACTATTAATACACAAAATATCTTTTACATCTGAAAGTAAAAAACTGAATGCAAATATGATGTTAAACAATTATACACAGTAACTGAAATTTTATTACTTATGTATCAAGAGTAAGCTTCTCTCCTAGCTGTCCATATATAAAAGCTAAATAATTATATTTTATCAAATAACATTTCGAGAATTTTGCAGTAATTTAAAAACGAATAATTGGGCACTCGTCACTGCTGGGTTATGTATAATCTGTTACTGTTTAAACCATGTAAACAGATGTAATTTACATGTTCACTATAATAATGCTGGGATATGTATTTTATTGAAATTTAAATCCAGTTATCATGGGTTTTATGGTATACATATATATATATATATGAACATTAACAAAATAACACAGTTCATAATACATCACAAAAATAATAAAATACAAGACATGAATTTATGCAGAATATGGAGTCTGGTCAGAAAAAGTTCAGATTTTTAAAGTCCGCATTGGCACATTATGCATCCTATACAAGTACATAACCGGTTGATTGTATTGGGGTAACAAGGATTAATTATGTACTTTAGTAGACATGTAGCCATCCCAAGAATATCAAATGTTTGACCATGACAACATAAAATTTTTGACTATTTTGGTATTTCTTTGATGAAGTGCCTAATTTTACTTTCAAATTCTCCATACATGTACATGTGAATGGACCGTTCTTTTCTTTTTTGTTGTTTATGAGTGTTAATTTAGAGATTTTGTGTATTGTAGAACACTTTTTGACAACAAAGCCTGAAAAATAGTCTTTCATAAAATTTCTCTTTTTATTCATTTGGGCAGTTAAGCCTCAGAAAAATTATACTGGTCTGGGACGAGCGCTTGTAATTTATCCTGAAGACGGCAATATATATTTTTTATTTCATTAACTGAATTAGTCGGACTGAAATCGTACCCTTATCCCCCACACTTTTAAGCACATATATACACATATACAAATGTAACTATCTCCTGTTATCTTTGGTACAGGCCTGAGGTATACCAAAAAGTTGGAGAGATAGACAGTCTTAATATATGATAGTAAGAACACGCCTTTAACTTGTAAATTAATAGTGTCCCTATATTTTCACTTTATACTACTGCCAAAATATGCTATCACCTATGACAGTAGCCTATGTGCAGTATGACTGTATGATAATGATATACTCAGTTGATGTGGTGAACGTAAGCAGGGTTCTGTAAACCCTAGAAGGCATAAAGGAATTTCCCAGTACATTTTCATATCAATTCTAAAGGAAAAAGCAATACCTTTTGGTGTAAATGTCCATGAAACGACAGATGCAAACTATTTTTTCTACTGTAAACATTTTTCATCACGTTCGAGGGACTACAGGAAGTTTATTTATGTTAATTTGGTCCCGCCCATAATAACGACTTTTGGATGCATCTAGTAACCGTAGCGGTATTTTGAAAATATGATAATATCACACGTTATCATTTTACTGCCAAATGTTTTAGAAAGTACAACAAATAAACTATGATAAATTGATATAATTACGTTTTAGTGTTGAAATCGACCGATTGTGGCACTTTATTGATATTTTATCAGTCCACCCTTTTTTGCACTGACGCGGGACGATTTTTGACGGTTGGTCTGAGATAACCATTAAAGTAACAACAACGAAAGCTCCTTACACTATATAGTTTATAATATGCACGCACCACACACATTTATTTCATATAATTCAAGTTTCTGAACACAAATCCTTATTATGAAGGAGGAGATTGAGATTAAAGTTGTGGTTTGGACCGCCTATTTGGGCGGGATTATTACGATGAACAACAGATAAAATGCATAGTATATTTAGATGCAGACAATGTGTTTTGTAAAGATAAAAACTGTTTATTGAATCAGAACTGTCATAATTTAACACTTAAAAGTATCACATCATGTAATTTTGTTATATTATACTTACAAAACGCCGAGTTTATCTTGAAATGACATAAATTCAACTTGTAATGGTGGACGAAAAACGACTAACGAGATGCATCACGGTAAATCTCGCAAAATCTCATCATACGCAGCTTATTTCAATACAGGCAATGCAAATAGTCCACGAGATTCCAATCCTTCTCACTATACAAATCCTTGGTATACCGTATCATTATACTAAAACCTAATCAAAAGGAACCTATGACTGTGCTCGATATACATTTAAACAAATCGCCAATTTAAAGTTCATTTTATTGTTTAATTTCAGACTGAGAAATTGAAAGTCGTCCAGTGTGGGTAAAGAATCTCCATTTCCATATAAATGATGTGAGGAATTGCAAAAACATTTTAAACATCTTTGGAAATACTTCTAAAAGACAATGGCAATGTGTAGATATGTAACAGTAATAGTATTATCAACAGTATTTGTGTTCATTAGAGCTGCAGATATTACAATATTTTATCAGATTTTAGAAGAACAAGAACCACCTTTATATCTAGGCAATGTTGCCGATGCAAGCAAATTAGCATCCATAGCTACAGCTGATGAGTTTGCCAATATGAGATATAGCTTTCTGAAAACAGTTGGAACATATTTCACAATAAATGAAAACAATGGTGCTCTTTCTACAAATTCTAAATTAGACAGAGAAACAATTTGTCCTTTTCAGAAAAGTTGTCTTCTTCAACTCCGTATTGGTGCTAGTAGTGGAACTTTCTTCCAGCCGATAAATGTTAATGTAACTTTAAAAGACATAAATGATAACAAACCAGAATTTAGCCGGTCATCCATTGTTTTAAACATTCCAGAAGATGCAGACATTAACACAACATACCCAGTAATAGGGGCCGTTGACAAAGATATGGGTGATAACAACTCTTTACAAACGTATGAACTTTTACCAGATAGCGGAACTTTCGGTTTAAAGTTTGACCATAGTTTATCAGGAAATATTGAAGTTTCTATCCTCCTCAAACAGACAGTAGATAGAGAGGTGCTGAGCCATTATCAAGTTTATCTGGTGGCAAAAGACGGAGGTTCACCACAAAGAAGTAGTATGTTGACAATTAACGTGACTGTTACTGATATAAACGACAACAAACCCATATTTAGTCGTAAACAATATGATATCACTGTGCCGGAAGATATATCTGTACCAAATAAAATTCTAAACATCACAGCGGTGGATCATGATGCTGGTTTGAATGGTGATGTAGAGTTCACTTTGATATCATCACCCTCAAGTGATGCACAAACTTTCTTTGCCATTGATAAATCAACAGGTCAGTTGTCGGTCATAGAACATCTCTCTCACACAAAGGGGGCACCACTTAGTCTTATCGTTCAAGCTTCTGATAAAGGGACACCACCCAAGAGCAGTCAGGTTGCCTTGACAATTACTGTTACTGATGTGAACGACAATCCTCCAGAAATCAACATAAATTTGTTATCAAGTGGCAGTACAGCTAGAGCAAATGAGAATTCTCCTAATGGAACTGTCGTTGCTTACATTGGAGTCACAGACAAAGATACTGGTAACAATGGTATTGTTTCTTGTAGTCTCCGTGACAACACATTTAGACTTTCTAAACTGTCCAGTTCTCAAACAGAATATAAAGTGTTGGTTAATAAAGTTTTAGACAGAGAAAAGGACATTGAACTTGTTGTAACTGTTGATTGTCAAGATTCGGGAAAAGAACCACTTAAAACAACGTCCAGCTTTATTGTTCAAATTATAGATGAAAATGATAACTTCCCCGAATTTTTAAAAAGTTTTTACAATGAGTCAATGGTAGAGAGTGACCATACAGGGATCTTCATAGCAAAAGTTACTGCTTCAGACAAAGACGAGGAAGAGAACGCTCAAGTTCGGTATTATGTAGAACAGGGTAATGCAGACAAGTTTTATGCTGACCCAAGCACTGGTGTGATTAGAACCACAGTACCGTTTGATAGAGAAATGCAGGATGTTTATACATTTCAAGTTCTAGCTGTGGATGGAGGACAAACAAAGGCATTTACCTCAACTGCAACAGTGGAACTTCACATTCTTGATGAAAATGATGAAACACCACGTTTTAATCAGACCAGTTATGAATTTAAAATTCAAGAAAATTTACAATCAAAGACTTTTGTGGGTACGGTATATGCCACTGACAATGACATTAGTGATAATGGTAAAATTAAATATTCTATAAAGTCTAGAAACAGAGCAGTACCCTTCCACATAGATCCATCTACAGGAACCATTCAAACAAATGGTATATTGAACCGAGAGTATAAAAATCTATACACATTTGAAGTAAAGGCTGAAGATTTTGGAGCACCATCTTTAAACTCGACAGTTAACATACAAGTAATGGTTCTAGATATAAATGATAATTCACCACAGATTTTGTATCCAGTGCAGGGAAATGGCTCCATTAAAGTCTCACATTTAACACCAGCAAATTCTGTTGTCACCAAAGTAGAAGCCTTTGATCCTGACAATGGACCAAATGGATCTCTCAGTTTTTCAATCCGGTCACGAAATGACAATAATTTGTTTTTTATTGAAAGCAATACTGGAAAGATTTTTCTCGCACACAGCATTCAGAGTAGTGAAATAAAGGATTATTTATTAGTTGTTGAAGTACAGGACCACGGTATTACTCCGCGGAGTAACAGTACCGAGATTAAAATAAGGATAGAATTGACAAAAACATCAGCCTCGTCTGAAGCAAGTATTGGACAGAATGTCCTTATCGTGATTACAATAGTTTGTGTAACAATCGTTTTATCATTAGCCATAATTGTCATCATATTTCTCATACGGAGAGTTGACAATAATAAATTAATGAAAGACTATCCACCACCAGGGAAGGAAGAATTTCAGATTTCAGAAACTATACACCTTAACACCAATAAAAAATCCATATTGACAAAAGAGACCAATTTACCAAATGGATATAATACTAATACATTAAGTGGTGGAGATAAAAAAGAAGTGAGTTTTTCGTTAGATGATCATAGAGACTCTGGAATATTTATGATAGCTAATTCAGAATCGGGTAGTCCCAAACCACAGCAGTCATTAAAACAGGTTTGTTTCCTTGCCCGTTATATTCACCTAACATCTAACAAACATTTTGTTCAAGGGGGAACAGTCTAGGCATGTTTGGCTTTTCTCCTAACATTTAACTCCAATTTAATTTTAAGATTTCTGTAGGTTTGGAATTTAATTAACAGTCTTTGCATGAAGTTTTATTCTAACCTATTCTTTAAATTCAATTTAAATTCAACAATTTTTAAAGCATCTAAAATTTGCAGAAAATGTGCACTATTTAGATATATATTGAACTTCATTTTAAAATTAAGTGAATTTAACATTTTTTTGCTCTTATAATAGACAACAATTTACACTTGTTAAATAGCTAAGTTCACACCTATCAATTTTAATAAGACTGGTTTATCTAGACATTTTATAGAATTTGTCAGTCTAGTATCTGGTAGCCTAATTAGGGTAATAAAACAGTAATATAAACTTTTCTCAGTAAGGTGAACTTTTCACTGTCAGATCAATTCTGTGTAACCTTTGACCTGTCTTTAGATGCAAAAGTTTATTTTCACATGTAAAATGTCCATAAAAGACAGTTAAATTAAAGTTGTTTTTTTTACTGAAGAATCTTTAGAACTTTTGATATAAAGTAAGGTTTTAATAAAACCATTTTATTTACTCACCTGCAGGGGAAATCATAATTATTATATAGTATAATGTGTGAGGTTTTGATCAACAATTCGTTTTAATTGGCCAATTTATAGTTCATATATTCTGATAGAGTTTTCAAGTAAATCAAATTTGATTGAGTACCAATAGTCCTGTTAACTTTTTAAAAGAAAATATGAATAAGTGTGAATGTTTAATTCTTTCAACAATAACTAAGTTTTTATCCAGTGTTCTACATGTTAAATGAATCCAATTTCATATCTCAACTTTAAACTTAGAAAATTCTGTCCACTTGATCCTGAAGAAAGGCCACCAACATTTAAACTGGAAAATCAGTTTTTTTTAAGTGATTAAAAAAGTTTGATAACTCCAACATAAGTGTCAAGAGTATAAGAAAGTGATTACAGGCCTTTCGTCATAACAATTTGGAGCATGATTATCATACTCAGAATAAAAACTAACCAATCGAAATACTGGATTTGGTGTTTCGAGCATAAATTTTGTATTTTGAGTACTGAATAAAGTTTAATGACCTAGAGCCCTGAGCTTTGTATATATGATATGGCATTAGATGACAGAAATGATGAACACAAGATGTTTAAAACACGAATTATGTAGCTCAACTGTTGTGGTTTGAGGAATGGCTTCTGTCAAAACAATTAAAAAAACAAATAAAACACGGATTGTTCCTGTGGTATTTACAGCATAAAGGGGTTGACCAGAAGTTAAGTTTTTCCTCAACAATGTATTAAATTTGGACATACATGTATTTTGCATCTTATCAATTACCCCTTTGGAATCTTCTTTCTCTTTCTTATGTACAATACAATAACTTGAATTAGAAATATATGAAATCTTTCCTTTAGTGTAAAACCATCAATTTAGAAGTGACCACTGTGTTGATAACAAAATGAAAATGGCCATTATATTCTAACAATATGATAGATAGGAAAGTTTGTTTGCCAGCTGTCTAAATGTAAATTAAAGTTTGATTAAATGATTTAGCTTTGAAAAAGACCCCAGAACATTACCTAATAGTTAGTTTTGGAGCCATGTGATGTTTATATATGCTAATCCTCTTTAGAAATATCAACGGGAAATCGTTCATAGAACCCAACCTGTTACAAGATGTGGGGTTGGACAAATGAAAGTTTTTGTTGACAAACATGTTGGTTATTACACAAATTATCATATTTTATCAAGCAAAATTCTCACCACAAAAGATGTAAGAGGATTTAAAATATCTGAATTTAGCAGGAAGTTGCTGGGAGTTAGATTGAAAATTAAAAGATTGTTCACCTTTAAAAGGGACTGTAATTGATTTGCCATAGATTGCTTTAGATTAAGGAAAAAAAGTTTAAATGTGAAAACCTTACAAGTGCAGTATAAATTCAATAAAGTCATTTTTCATACTGAATAGTGCCATTCATCATTATTATAAGCATGATAAAACCATACTTTGTCCGTAAAGTGATTATAAATTGTAGCTTTCACCAAATTATATACCAATAGGGAAAAGCTTGAAAAATGAGAAAATGACAAAAAGTTGGTTTTTGTAATAAGTTTTTGACATTTTTGTCTTTTTTATTCTGTACAATATGTTTCTTGTGACACAGCTTAATCATAAATTGACTTCTGATAAAAACACATATACTTGTACATATGTTACCATCAACAATGTTGGCTTGAAAAAAATGTCATGATCAACTAAGAAATTCAATGTTAAATGGTTAACTTACTTTTATTGTTGCAACACAATGGAAATGCTTTTGTTTCTATCACAGCTTAACATTTTTATTTTGTTTGATGAATATCAAACAGTCAATTAAATTGATGAGAGCAAACCAAATTGTACTGAATTGATTAAATATAATTTTCCAGGAATTTCCAACAGATTATTTACATTTTGTTATTTTTGTAAATGATAAGACAGAACAATGCAATGGTGTATCGGTTTGGTACGCTATGCAGGAATATACTGACTTAATATACCCTGCTAACAATGAAAACTCCTCTAGGATATTTTACAAATTAAATTCAAAAAAACAATCAGAACAATAAGAAATAAGCATCGACACTTAGCAACCAGACATGTAAAATATGTGCTTAAAGGCATTGATCAATGAGCACAAAGATATATTGTATACAAACTTAAACTGCATCAAAGAAGTAGAATTGGTATAAATAATATTTCACTCTCAAGCAGAAAATATTGAAATATTGATCGGGAAATGTTTTTTTTTAAATTACTGAATTCAGCTTGTAATCATTTTACCGGTAGTAATAAGCAGCTGACTGAATTTTACAATGTTTGGACTTTTATTTACTTTCAGATTCATGAATCTTCATCGGATCCCAACCCTCACGAAGAAGAGCACCATAGAATGTCATCCATACGTCTTCATCAGAAATTACTGAATTCTTCCTATAATAAACCATTATTATATCACCCTGATGATGTAAGTAGTTCATTAGACATTATTAATTCTTCTTACCTAAGCCTATGATAGAAGCTATTGACTGCAAAAGACCTGTCAGAATTTACTGAATTTATATATAACAGGTCAAACCTGCTATAAAGGTCAAATCTATTTAGAAAAAAAACTGTCTTGTCTGGTCATCCATCCTCCTCCTGTCCTGTTGTAGGAATACCTATATGTGTTGAACCTCAATTCAAAGATCATCTGTTTTATAAGGTCCGTTTTGTCTGGTCTGGAGGGGTGACCATTATACAGGTTTGACTATTTATTTCTGATGATGGAGGTAATGAAGTCTGTACATTATAATATATTATATGAATTATTCTAGTGCTATTTGGTTGGTGTCCTGTTTGCATCTATCCAGAATTGCCTTTTCTTTCTTAAGTATTTAAAATTACAAAAAGTGCAACTAAATTTCTTGTAATATTGGGTGTATATATATTCAAATAATTAAGCTTGTTTTAAATCTTTTTCCTAACAAAATATCTTGAAATTTAATATTATGTTGGTTTATTTCTTCGTCTGTTTATAACGTTTTTTATTTAAAGCCTATCTATAGATGGGAATCAAGCAACCTTGCCTTTCCTTTGTTTTACTTTCCAGTTCACTAACAACTTTGCCGATAAAAAGTCTAAAGATCAAAATCAAAAACAAAACAATGACCACATATTTTTTTATTATAAAGTTACATGTTAGTCATCATTCTAAAGGTAATTTAGTTCATTTTGACATCTTATTCTTTTTTTAGTGTTTCTCATTCTTTAAGTTAAATCTTAAATCCAGAAATTAGAATTTAAATTTTTAATCGTGGTAAAAATTTGATATGAATAGAATGTCGGTATTAAAGTATTTCTAAATACCTATTAATCACAGATCCTGCGATTGTTTAAAATTTGAACCTGTTAAGGCCTATACAGATGGTTAAAAAGTATGTTATTACAACAAAGAATGCTGTTTCTTCCCCTTGAAAACATTTCAATTCACATAAATAGGAAATCCTGCACTTACACAGGAGTTTGACTAAAGGTTATTTGAGGAAACTGAGATTTTGTAAATATTTTTATTGGTTTATAAGACTTACACAAGACTAAGATTTTTTCACAAAATCTAAGCCTACTAGTTATTTCTTTGACTGAAAGGAATTTTTTTAATCCAAATTTTCATATTTGGTGTAGCTTAGGTTTTTCATATAGAAACTAATTTTCTCTAATTTTTGTGCTATTTTCACATTTCTTGATAGGTGTGAGAAAAATATTTCTCCTCACTAGTGAAATATCTGTTCTCGGCAAATGATTGGTCGAAATTTAAAAATGAAGTTAAATTTTCTTGGTTTCTTCTGAATTTCCTATTGTGACGTCATGAAAAAAGGCGTCTGCAATTCTTTGAACAAGGAATGATAAAAATCATTAGAGAAACAGATTCCACCACTATAACTCGTGTATTACGATATTTCTCCACTCTCAACAGTTAAATTTTAATTATTTAAAAAGCTTGGCAAGCCTCACGCTTTAAATATTAAAATTTAACTGTCTCGAGTGGAGAAATATTGTAACACACTTGTTGCAGTGGTAAAATCTATATTTCTTGAAATGGGAAATTTGATATTATTTTGATATTGAAAAGAGAACAGATATGATATAAAATCTCTAGACTGTTTTCTCGAAGGCTACATTGATTGATTGTTGTTAGTTTAATGTCCAGTGGATTGAAGGTTAGACCCTGTTGAAATAACTGTGAAGAAAAGTTTACAATAGTTTTGTAACAGCAGAGATTCCTTCTTTATCTTTTCTTTTGAAAATATCTTTTATATTTCTTTTTTTTATCCTTACTCCGATGAGCTTTTAAACAAGATAAATTCTCAGATGACTATCAAATAAAAGTTAAATAGACCATGAGGAAACATAACAGTGAAGAATATTCAGATAATTTCACAACTTTAAAAAGATACATTGTGTCTAAAATCAATACAAAAGTCAACAGTTAATATAACAGATATTTATTGATATATACAACATTTATCCACGTAAATATTTAAACAGATTGCCCCATATTTATTCATAATCCTTTTATCTTTGAAGTTTTTCTTCTTTCTTTCGTTTCTTGGAGGGGAAAATGAATATTGTACTTGTTTCTGTGTTGAGCCTTATTGTTAAAAGTTCAAAGAACATTTAATCAAGGGATGTTAAGTTTTTATTATGAGAAAAACGGGGGCGTGTCTGCGTACCTTTCTCTCACTCAAATACTGAAAAATGGGATTAAATATACATTAAATAGAAAGGCTTTTCTCTGTGGGAGCTATGCACTTTGACTACAGTTCAAATGAACTGAACATAATTTGATTAAATACGGTTTTGACATTGTAATGCGAAGATTTCTTTTATTGTCAAGAGGTACTCGATGTAACATTTAGGACTGATATTCCTGCATGGACGTCATGGAGTGGTTTTATCCCTTCATATAAAATATGTCCAACCTCTCGGTATTAAGATGTCAGAATATTTCTTAACATTGTAATAATATTGGACTAATTATCGTGATTTTATGTGAATGTCATTGGGAAATAATAGTCATAGTAATAGAATTATATGGTGCCCCCCATTTACACCTGGAGTATGACTTCTGTGACAAGAACTTCTGCAGAAATCTTTTAAATTTAATTGTTAGATATGTCTGTCTCCTGACATTAAAATTGTCACTTGTAGTTCTCTTTTTTTGCTATTGAGATTTGCCAAAATAGATACTTTATAAGGTGAGAGTTGAGTGATTTTGTTAGGACAATATTAATTTTTTATACCGATTTTCAAGTATGAAATCATGGGAAAAAGTTTAAAGTCTGAACAATGTATTTATTGTCTTACTATCAAGAAAGATTTTATAAAGAAGGTGACATTTAACTATTCATACTAATATGTGTTTTCTCGTATTTTCTTCTTGTTGAAAACTTAACATATAAACGATTTTTTTGCAGAGACGACAGATTTGGAGTAAACGCCATGGTGAAGATACACGTAGTGATTTAAGTGAGGATGTGACGAGTGATAGTGGCCGTGGTGGCAGTGAGGAGGATGTCCACCATCATCAGATGTATCCAAGGAGTGGCATTGTTATATAGAGTAATGGTAAGTGCTGATTGTACAACAGTCAAAACCTTAATGTAAAATATTGGAATTAGACAAAAAAATAAAAAGAATACCAGGTAGTCGAGGGAATATGTCAGCAACCCAACATGAAAATAAATCCAGATTAAAACATGTAGCAATCAATATTCTCTCTTCAACATTAGTTTATACTTTATGTTAAGGTCAAAATAACTCTTAGTCTAGACATGTCATAGATAAAGGAATGGTACTGTCTCTGTCATCAAAAAACTTATTCCATAAAAGATGAAAAGGCTCTACGATATAGAAAAAAACAATCTTACTGATAAGATTACTGACTTGAGTTGAGAACTTAAACTGTATTACACCATGGACTATTCATACATCTTATGGAGCTTGAAAATTGTTTCATTGTTTAGCATACATATCATTTAAAACCCAATCCAAACAGAAAGAGTAGATGTTAATTTAAGATTGTGGTTGTGTAAGCTTAGTTAAGTCCATGCTTTATTTCTAAATTTTGAGGTAACTCCACCTTAAAGTTGAACAGGTTTTATTTGTTGTGATAATTATATGTTTAGATTGCTTGTAAAATAGTCATAAATCTTATGGTTAATCAGGCTAAAAAATGCACATTTCAGAAGTAATAAAATTAGATTTAGCGTGGACAGGATATCTTGGTTCATGATTCTAAGTCCTTTAATTGACCAAATCATACATTAACCTGTTATTACTGACTTAATTATAGATCAAGAGAAAGTTTGAACTTGTTAAAATCATTATTAATGAAATTTTGACATGCAATTTGACCATTTTTAAATCCCCTTATAAAATCTGACACGGTGGTCACAATGATTTAATGGACTAAGGGAGATAATTTGATTATTTTTATTTATTCCTACTGATTGTGACATGGGAGATAACCACAGGTATTATTAATCATGGGATGAACAACATTGTTTTGTCATTTAGGAAATCTGATATTAGAGGCAGATCTTTGACTAAGTCTCTTTCAAGCTTATTATTATGTACTCTAAAATAAGGTTATGTTTGTATCATTCTTTGTACAAATGTTGTAATTTTTATTAAATTTGTTGTCCTTTCCTGATCTTGAAGTAGAATAGTTATCACATGTCACTTTTTCACTTATTTGTTATGTTTTGATTTCTTTTGTTTTCTAGGTATGTTATTTTTGTGTGTGTTTATCTTTTTTAATATTTTTATTCTTACTGTCTTAATATAATGGTTTACTATCCAAGAAATAACTTAGAATATTTTATTTTTTTCCAGATTATTACAGATTTTTCCTGAAAGCAGTATTTTAAAAGATATGATACCTCGTAGAGATTTATATGACTTTGATATTATCTATATGATTCCAAGTGTTAGATACAGAAAGACAAACAGAGCCACTTATGTACACTGCCACTCAAGGATTGTATCCTCACTGTATGATGTAAGTATACATAAAGATCAAATATGCTAAATATATGCAGTATTGCAAATCATCATTCCTAATCATATATTGGTAAAAATATCATTGAAAGAAATAGACATTAAGACTTTTTCATTTAATATCAAGCATTTTTTGTTTCATACTGTTGAATGGTTTTAGATATTTCAAATATTTTCTGTCTATTATTTTTTTAATTTCGAGAATTTTGAGACATATCCAAATAAAACAAAAGAAAAACATGAAAATAAATTAGAAATACATTGTAGACAATTTAAAACTTTATATGGGGCAGTTAAGCTACTGAAACATAGTTGGGACTGATTATATATACTATAGGATTGCCAATGAAAGTTAAGCAAGCAACAATCAGTCAATCAAACAGTCATACCATAGGACAAAGTGGATGTAACAGTGTTATCCATTTAATTGATATTCATTTATTTTTGCCTCACTGAAAGGTTGAAATTTATTGGTAGTTGACAATATACAGATTTCTAAGATAATAAAAATAAATTAACAGACATTAATAATGGTGTTTATGTTAAATCTTCTTCACAGCATTCTGTTAAAAAAACAGGTAAAACATTTAATTTTATAATAAAAGTTAAAATTGTTTTGCAGTTTCATTACAACAATTTGATTTTTGTTTTTACCATGAGATATTAACTATTAATCTACTTTGACATATTATTTCAATAGCTATATATTTATTTGCAGGTTTGTTCACAAATGGTGCTAAAGTCTTCAAAGGGAGTTAATCCTTCATGTTATTGAAGGGGAGATAACCTGGTGCATTCCTTGAACATTGATCTCACTACAAACTAAGCTGTGAATTCCATGTTATCAATTCTTGCTAGAATTTATCTAGTCTTATCATATGTTTCATTGTAAATTAATCATTGATATAGAAATCCTGTTATTTATGATAATGTTATTTGTTATTGTTTTATATTTTTTTAAAGATTAAAAATCTTGAAATGTAAACATATTCTTCTTTTTATTAACCTCTTCAAATTGTATGAGACTGGTTTGGGTAAAAGCAAATGGAATGAATATATATATATGAAACAGCAATTATCTCAGTAGTACTGCTATACCCTAAGGAACAGCATGTTTATGACAACAAGGTTTTCTGTGTAAAGACTTTTTCTATGGGGATAGGGCCTCGATGGCCGAGTTGGTCTAAGTAGTTCAACTACTGTATCACCAGCCTGGCAACACTGAGGTTATGTGTTGGAACCATGCATATGGCAGGTGCATTGAACTCCAATCTCAATTGACTAAGAGTGTCAGTTTTCCTGCTGAAAGTTAGTGTCCTCTCCGGCACTATAGCTCCAGGGTGCATGACGGCAATTTCACATCTGTAGGTTAAGAAGTACTTTTGAGCTAGCTTTCAGGAACTAAAATCATTCTAAGATAAAATGCTATGTATTGTTTGAATGTTCTGTCTTTCTTGTGATTGGTTATAAAGTTAAGTGTTTTTCCTGTACTGATGTTTTTGTATGCTCTTCATGTACCTTTTGTTTATCCGCTGCTAGAGGTAGATGGTGGATTGCTAAAATCTTAAAGAACTATTTAAACCTAGCCATATGTTGGTCTACCGGTCTCCAATCTCATCAGTTGTTATGATTTATTTTGTCATTTACGAAATTTGATATTGAAGGCAGATCTTTGATTAAGTTTTGATAGAGGGGTAGGTGCTGTAAGGGCCTTATTTCACCCTCAATATTAGATCTATTACTAACATTTCAAGAAGAAAAGTGTATCAAGGCGATGAATGTACCTGTGGGAAAGTGAGATAGAATTATTATTGTAAAAATTTGAGATTCTGGTGAATTTCAACAAAATTTAGGCCAAGGAAACAACATTTGCAGAGGGGCCTTGATGGCTGAGTATTCTAAGTAGTTCAACTACTGTATCACTAACCTGTCAACACTGAGGTTGCGAGTTCGAGTCCTGCATCAGGTGCATTCGACTCCAATCTGAATTGACTAGGGTTGTCAGTTTTCCTACAGAAGGTTGGTGGTTCTCTGCAGGGACTCCTTCTTCCTCCAACAATAAAAACTGGCCACCACGAAATAGCCAATAGTGCTGAAAGTGGCATTAAACACCAATCAATCAATCATAATGTGCAGGGCTCAACAAACTTAATAGTCAAGTCATGTATGTTAAAACAAACACAATGACACAAGATCATTTTTGCCGACACATTTGGTTTATATGTTCTTTTTTTGGGGGGTCCTGAAAATCAATTGAAATTTGCCTGTTTTCACTAGTGGAAAATTGAAATTGATGGTAATTACAACATCATAAAAAGAATGCCAATAAACAAATTTTCCAAAAAATAACATTTTCTTTTTAGTTACTGGTTTAGCTATGAATTATTGTGATAATAGCTACTGAATACTTAATTGAAATTCGGATAGAAACATTGAAACTAGCTCCTTTATTCACAAGTGGTCTAGACAATTTGAGAGCAAACGTAGGTCACCTTAACTGTTTATGGTCTAGTGGTAGGGTTAGGTTCCTCATCTGTTTACATATTAGGACAAGCAGTCTATGCATATGCTCCAACAACTTCATTAATGGGAGAGTAAGTTGGACAAAATTTTGCTCAGACCTTCAGAAACCCAAGCATATAGACAGCAGGGTATCATCTAGTAATAAAAATAAGTTTGTTTTCTGTTGTGGTTAGTTGGCAAAAGGTAAAAGTTTATCTCAATGTACAAAGTGAAATGATTGGGATGTTGGTTTTCTGCACTTAGGCACTGACTGTTCATCTTTCAGGGAGAGCATAATTTTTTTCTTCTTTATAAACAATAAACGAATTTAAGCTCACTTGGGCCGAAGGGCCAGTGTGAACTTTTTCCATCACTTGGTGTTTGTCATCCCATTTTGTCCATCTCCAATAACTTTTACAAAAATCTTCTCTGGAACTAAAAAGCCAAATTAAACCAAACTTGCCCACAATCATTATTGGGGAATCTATTCTTTTTTTAAATGTGTCTGAGTTTTTGCCCTTAAATGGCGATTTTTAACATAATTTTGCATTGATGCCTGTTATCTATAAAACTATAATAGATAGCTCGTAAAAACAGAAATAATCAGCATGGCAAGATCTACAAATAAGTCAAACTTAGCCAAAATCTTCGTTCTACTTCTTATAGGAGTTTTTGTCATTGAACGACAATTTTTGCGGAAACTTTTAGTCATGAATTATATTCTAGTCTACAATGTTAGAGAGTGTCAGTTGTTGAAGATGCACTAATTTTTGTTCACTTCTTTTCAAAAACAATTCAAAATGTTGTTAAACCTTTTAGTATTGAAATAAATTTAGGGGATATTGGCCCTACTTCTTTATAATATTGTATTTGTGCTTTGAGGGGTTAGCCTTCATCAGGAATGCTAAGAGCAAGCAATGTATAAATACATTGGGTTGATATAACCAAAAAGAAGCATATATATTAGTGAAGCTCTACAAAAATAAGTTCTGCCGTTAATTGCAAATTAAGTTTTAATGAACATTTCAAATTTATCAATGGAATATAGATCCCAAGAGCAGATAAGAAGAATACCTTTGCCTGTATTACAATAACTACTGAAAACAATGTACTGAAAGTCAAGGTCGAATGTCCAAATATCAAAATCAACAAACAGACAACAGAAACGCTACGTCGAAAAATAGCACTGAAAGTTCTGTATACAAGTACAGAGGAGCCTGAATAAGTGTTGTCACAAGTTCCCATTGTAAGGTTACATAAGTCTCTCTTATCCTTTATATGACAGAAGGTCTAACAATTCTAATCTCGTATGACTGAATACAATATCGATATATGTTAGTTACCGAAAACAATGGTTCATCTAACCTAGTGACTAGGAATATTATTTAGTTGTACCGATACTTTTATCAGAAAACGAACGCCCAATCTCATTTTTAAACGTGGTGCACTAGATTACAAATTACAAAAACTACCTTTAATCACTGAACCAGACCCATGAAAAAGGGTACGGTCGTTCGATCCTTGGCGAACAGACAGCTTCACCTTACGCCGATATAATAAACCATCCATAGCTTACAGAAACGGACTTGAGCAAAGAAAAACACAATGAAACACGAAAACGAGGTCACAGTCATATAACCTCAGTCAGGCAGGCATGGACTAAATGCCTGATTAACTAAGGAAGTGGTTGTAACACTTAAAATAACACTTGCTACCATTTTTAGTTTGGATATGTTGGTAACATCACAGACATATATATTATATGTCTGGTAACAGGAAGTATTTTTGTACAGTCTGTTCTTATGTCGTGGTATTAACCAGTTTCCCAGATTAGGGTAGGCCACGGTTGAGCACCTGTTGTTTAAACCCGACATTTTATGTGCATGTCCGAAGTTAGGACCCTGTATTTCAATGGTTGCGTTGGTTGCGGCTCTGTTTGTCAACATAAATGTTTTAACACAAATTAGTCCGTTGCTTTTTCTTTTCTTCCATTTTTCACATTGTGTCATGCTGGATCTTTTATAGCGTACTACACAGGCAAATTTTGCTCACGTGAACTTTACATGTATCTCACGTGAAACTCACGTGAAAAAATCACGTGAAATTCACCTCAAACGAGCTTATACATGAAACTCACATGAAAGTTTTCATGTGAATTTAACGTGAATTGAGATTCACATGAATTTCACTTGAACTTTACCCAACAAAAGATTTGTATTTTTTCATAATTTCAAATAAATTTGAAAATATAAATGTTATTTGAATAACTTTATTTTTAAAATTCATGTGAATTTCACGTGAAAAAAATCATGTTATTTTCATGTGAAATTAACGTGATCTTCACACGAGATGCACGTGAAACTCACATGAACTGATTCCACGTGAGTTTCACGTATAAGCTCGTTTGAGGTGAAATTTATGTGAATTTCACGTGAGATTCACATGGATTGAAATTCACTTGAAATTCATGTGAGTGAATATATAGTGCAGTGCATCGTAAGCCTATTTGGCTGGCTGTAATGTAATATTGAACTAATATGTGTTTGTTGTATATATACAGGTTACACTATAATAAACTATTCATTCATTCATTCGTATAGTTTTCTCATTGGCAATTACACCACATCTTCTTATTTTCATTTTGCAGATATTTTGATGACACATTCTCTTTTAAAAATCCTCTTTTTTTTTACCTATAAATACAACATATAGATACTGCTTGCAATTTGTTTTCCTTGACTTCGTTTTACTAAGTTAATACTATAATTTCTCGTGGTAATGTTCGTACAACCATTAGACAAACGTTGCGACTTTTCCATTCTACGTACGACATACAGTACAATATACTCATTCTTTTTACCGTCATATTGTTTTTAAAAAACAAATAAGTGTATGAATTGCAATTTCAATTTTCTTTTTTGGCTTACTAAACCTAATTATTCATGAGGGTAATAATTATACCTTGTTGGTTATCATTGCGTACCTTTGGTTAATTCATTTATAAAGGTAAAAAGTTGGGGCGTTGAACTCTCAATAATGTTTAACACAAAATATTGTGACTGTCCCAGGGTATCATTTAGTTTAATATTTAATGGTTAAAAAGGCAGAACTTGGAGAAGTCTCAGTTAATTTATCCCGAACTTTTATTGGTTAAGAATGTAAGCTGAACTCGAGATGTGAATATTTGTATCGTTGTATTGCTGTCGCATTTTCAATTTGTATTGTGTCGCTTTGAACAACTGACGTTTGTTAATAAACAGTGGTATAAGGGCGATAACTATAAATTTAAAAAAAAAAACAAGATTATTTTTCGGATTATCTTTCTTTGTTCAGTTTTCCAATATTTTTTTCATTTTTCTTTTTTAGTTCAATTACAGTTGTGTTCTTATAAAGAGAAAACTGGCGACGCTTGAAACTAACTCTCCCTTGGATGAAAATGACAGAAATCAATAGATGTATCCCCACGTCGGTAAAAAGTAATTC